TCGGCTTTAATTTGGGTTAAACCAATTTTTAATATTAAATTGGTTTTATAGTAGCACTTTAATTCATTTGTAAAACTCAGAAAAACTAGTTTTAAATTTGGTTTTATTTTTTGTATATCATGAAAAGACTACCAAAAGTAACTTAAATTGGATCTTTTTATTTTAATTAATCTAAAAATAAAAATATGTATTGCACAGTTTATTTTAAATATCAACCGATTTCAATTACATATAAATCCAATTCGGTTTAAATTTACAACCCAGGGTACCAAAAAATTAATTGCTCAAAAAAAAACAACCGTAATATAATTAAATATCATGAACTAAAATGAAATGAGAACTTTTATTTAACCCCTAAACCCACTTATACTTGTTTATTATAAATCCTACCTCTAAAATTGACTCCTAACCCTAAAACAATGCTAAAAAATACATCTTCAAGATTTGTATTTGGGTAACTTATCTATTTCATCTTAATCTAATTTCATGTTAATCTGTCAATTAATTGCAATTTGCTTTTACAATAAAATTTGCTAAAAATTTTTCTAAAATACTCTATTTCGAACCTGAAAAAAATTAATTGTACTATCGGCAAATCTAAAAAAAGCCTCTATGTAGCATCTGTTCAAAACATTTGCACTTATTGAAACAAATTTAAAAATAAAGACTTGAAAGTGTTAAATTATTTAATAATTCTAAATGAGCAAGTAATTAAATTGCACATACTTATTTGAATACATATCAATATTCTTTCTCATATGACACTATCTCATTTATCTGCTTGATTTGGTCAAATTAACTATTAATACTTGCTTGAATCTGGTAGTTCTGCATGATCTAGCAGGGTTGTTACTGGTATATTCCACCTTTCAATCTGTCAAATTAAATGTGTCAAATTGAATATACGTACTGTATATATATCTTTCTTCACTGCGTCAAGTAATTGCTTCATAATCAATGTCAAAAGCTAATTTTGATGAGTTTATTAAATACATCAATAAAAAACAAAGATCCTATTGTCTTTTGGACTTTTGAGTTTATTCTGGTATTAAAGAAATGATTATTTTTAATGAAGATTTAGAAAATTTAATCAGAAAAACAAATTCATTTTATTTTAAACAATCAAACACCAAGGAAAGTATTAAGAACAATATAATATCTATTTAACTGTCAAAAAATTTATGATATAAAGTATTCTTAGTATTTAGTATAAAATATCATTTAATAACTGTTAACAATTCGGTTTCTAAATTCTCTTTGAGCATAATCTCATTTATATTAAATATCTTAGTCACCAATCAGTACTTAAAATACAGATTATATTTAGAAAGTTATGCAAAAAGCAAAGGATGGACTGATCTGTTAGATGATGTGTGCCCAAACCTTGACTTGGTAAAAGCCAAAACATATCTCCAAAATGTATATAACAATTTTTTTTGTTATTATTTTTATTTAATATTAAACTTTTAGATAATATTAAACTTTTATTTAATAATAACCTTTTATTTAGCTGCAATATGATGATGATATGAGTGAAGTTGTAAAAATTTTTAGTCAAATGATACCAAAAATACAATTCAAAAAAAATGATTTGCTTCTTTCAGAAATCATTGATGTTTATAGATAGGTCAGGTTAGAGTTTGCTTATTTTTGGTCTTTTTTGTGCAGATTATTTTTATTTATAGAGGTTAATCATAAAAACCTCAAAGAAGCATATGAACATGCAGGAATTTGGAAAGAAATCAATGAAAAAATTCCCATAAAGGAAGTAAAACTCCCCCTAAAGGAATTTATTAAAAATTATATCAATTCACAAGAGACGGAACTACCAAAAGATATAAGTACAAAAAAACAAAAAAAATTTAGAGCTATACAATTATTGTTGGATCATATGTAAGTCTAATACTACAATACATCTGTATATTGTTACTTTTATTAAGTTAATTCACTAAGCTATAAATAGTTTATTACTCTGGGAAGCACCACATTATAAAGCAAAAAGTTCTATTAATGAAAGTACCTGGGCACACAATATCATTGATCCAATTTGTCAATTTCTTAATTTCAATTTATTGGATTTAAGAATTTCTTGGTAAATTTATTCTTTCGGCAATACTCAAATAAAAAAATCTATATTAATTACAATACTTATTTGTTACTATTAGGGATAATGTAATGAGTCAAGCTACACGTGAAAGGAATGATCTGGATGGACCAATTAAAAAACCAGATATCCTTGGAAAGTACTTTGGAATCAATGCAACATATGACTGGGAAATGGACCTTTTATTGATACAACACAGTCAAACATACATAAAAAGGAAGATCGAATTAAGCTTGGCAAATTTGGAAAAGATTCATTGGATGATGCTTATAGGCATTACACATCTAAATGTAAAAATTTATATGAGGATTTTCATCTATTAAATTTATTCCTACTTCAAGCGTCAGGTAATTCAATAATTATTATAATTCAGTTTGTAGGAATAAATTACCTAAAATGATATTTTTATTTTTCTTAGGTACATTCTTAGAATTTTTTATTATGGATAAAAAATACCAACCGCTATATAGGTTACGTAGATTGGAACAAATTGAACTTCCGTACCAAAAGCATTCGTTATCAGTTGAATCAGTAATCAATTTGGTTTCAGTGTTAATTACATATCATAAATTAATACGAAAGAATTTGATGTTAATTAAGTCCATTGATACAAAACTAGAAATCAATGATAGTAGTGGGTATAATATAGTTTTAGATCAATTTAAACAAATTAGTTTAATTCCCACATTAAACACACCACGATCCTCAATAATTGAAAAGAAAAAATAAATAAGTTACTTAAATTTCTGAATTTAATAATACAGTAAATGTATGGTCCAGGTACAATCTATATCTAAATCAAAGTATCAAAATTGATGAAAACTTTAACTAATTGAAACAGATTTGACAAAACACCAGGATTTAGTCAAGGTAACATTCTAAATAAGCTAAACCTCTTGTAAGTCTCAAGTGATAATAATGTATTATACGTTGGACCTTTAAATTTTGTGTTACATACTTAAATTTTATTGGTTTAAATCATGTGCGAAGAAAAAAATTTATGAGAAAACTAAAAGGTTCAGAATTAGCCTTGACACGAATAGAAATAAAAATTACATATAATATTTTTAAAAGCGTTGATTTTTTAAACTAGATTTTTCTACAAATATATCTATACATATTGGCGTACGTTTTATTTTGCTCAGCTTCATGATCAAAATTATTTATTAGTTTTTGATATTCATTTTGAGATATATTCATGTAATCTGGCATATAAACTAAAGCTTCATGGAATTGCTTTGCTGATTCTATTGTCTAAATATATATATAGGTTAATAACGGAACATATTTAGTGTCAAGTAAAAAGAGACATTAAACATAGGAGTACCACAGGTGCTTACATATTCACCAAATCTTCCATACCATCCACCTAGTGGAACAATTACTTCTTTCCGTTCAATATCAGTTATATTGTCAATTAATCTAAGAAAATCAGGTATCCTTGATGTGATATCAATTCCCGCACCCTCCTCTTTCAGTTTTTTCAATACTACAATAAATTTAAAAAATCCAAATTATTTAGTATAAATGTTTAATTATCAAAAGTTATAAACCTTTTAATTAATATAATCATACCAGCATCTTGAACAAATTTTGTAGAATTTCCCTGATTTATATATTTGTATTCAATTTCCATAATTTCAATCCATCCATTATGTTTCGTAACGCGCACCAATTCATGAATAACCTTTAAATATTGATCTTCGGTGAATGCCAAAAACATTAATGCCATATGAACATAGTCAAATGTTTCAGAAGGAAATGGAATTCCATTTAGAACATTATGCTCAAGAAATCCGACATTGTGAGTTCGATCATGTTCTTGAGGGAAATTATTTGGCACAATATCTATACCTACAAATGTTGATTTTGGAAAGTCGTTCGCTACATCTAGGATCCAATAGCCTGCTTCACATCTGTTTAAATAAGTAAATATTATTAGAGAAAAAACATTACATATTAAGAGCGTACATTAATTATAATTAGTATATAATATTATTGTATATACCCAACGTCAAGAACGTAGACACCACCATTTTCTAATATCTCTTTGACAGGGGCAGAAATATTTCCTTGCCATATATAACGTGTTAACATATGACCAATCATTGATCGTTCAATCTCAATTCCATCCGAAGGTTGAAAATAATTTGCTTCATGATGATTTAAAAAGTTTCTTCCACCGATTACTTTAAATTGATTTAATAAGTTTTCTGCTACGGAATTAACATCTAAATCGTTGGAATTTTTAAATTTATTAAAAATGTCCTTTTTTTTAACTTTTTTGCTCTTATCAGGGAAAACATCGAACATTTTTACTTAAAGCACCACTTATCGACCAATTAGCCAGTTTTTTTTACATAATGTATACCGTTATACCGATGACAATCACTTAACCGACAATTATTTTATTGACAAGCTCTCTGAACGACATCACATTTACAAATTATATATACTACGTAAAACTAATAACATACTAAATTGCCACCCTAAGTGATAATAACATAGGATAGGTACGTACGTACGTACCGTTAACATGTAATGAAAATCGATCAGCCATCTCCCAAAAAAATAATCTCAGAACCAAACAATCAAGATTACGGAACGTATCACATATTTTACGTAAACCATCGTTCAGGGATTATCGAGACCTTCTCTTTAGGGTTAAAGCTTGTCATTCTTTTATGTACGTATATGTGTATGTAAGTTACAAAAGGAAAGTAGTTCCGGGATTAACATGAGTCTAGATCAAGGACGATTTTATGCAAATCGCATCATATCGATATCGATATAGTAGTTGATAATGCATAATTGGTTAGATTTACTACGTAATGATTCATAAAATATGTCGCTACTTATTAAGCAATTACACGTAATATTAGGGAGCACGCACTTATTTGCGCGAGTAATACAAACCTCAAAAGAAAATAGCCAATTATTCCGGATCACATATAGGCGGATTTGACTCCAATGTGATTATCATGAATTGACATCGTACAAATATTAGAATTTTGGGTTTCGCAAAAGTATCAACTTTTTTTTTTCAAAACATAACATAGGTGAATATTTTCATTTATGTTTAACAAGGCTTTAGTTTCCTTGTTCAAAAATTATTTTTTTTTATTAACCAAAAATTTTTACTAGTGGCAATGCCAGCGGGTAGACCGAGTAAAAATACAGGTTCATGTGCAGTATGTGGCAAAGATCTTAAAGAATACAAGACTAGTTTCGGAGTTGTGGTATGAAAATTTTCATGCTTATGTTCAACAAGATCTTATCTGAAATATCTTATGGGATTTCCAATTCTTGTTAGTAACAATGCCAAGGTTGGTAGGCCACGTAAAAATATCGAACCATGTGTAGTACGGGACAAAGATAAAAAAATACAAGAATAATTTCGGTATTGTAGTATGAAAATTTTTATGTTTTATTCAACAAGACCTAAGCTTCAATAATTTAAAATAGTTTATAGAAGTTAATTGCCAAGTAAGTCAGCGCAGATGTGATTTGGATCAAATACGTGTGAACAATATTGTTTAACTTAATATGGGCCAAAGGTTGAAATGCGTCTCTGGTAGAGGTGGTGATGACAGAAAAATAAAATAGAATTACTATTTTAAAATATTGCAGGATTGATCACGTTTTTGATAACATGTCACACAAATATTGATTTGATTGGTTAATGGTCATCATATGTGATAAAATCGAATTTATGACAATATTGAATGGAGTAAAATCTGCCTATATGAGCCCAACATGAAGTTCAAACACGTACAAAAGAAGAAGAATGTGAAAAAACTAAAAAAAACTAGTGTTTAAATCGACTTTGGTGTACTAATTAAAAATATCAAAAATGAAATTTTATATATAATGAATACAATCCAGTCTGGGACTTTTTCAGACTTTTCAAAAATAAAAATTAATTTTTGAATGTTTCCTTGATGCCTTTTGGTTAAAATTTTAACTTTTTTATAATATTTGATTACAACTTATTTTATTTATAAAGAATAAAAACTCTATAGTTTTAGAATTAATCAATAATAAATTAGGATTAATTCTTTTTAGCAAAGTAAATAAGATTTAAAAAATATTAAAATTTATATTTGTTAGTTTAGTTTTTATATTTTCTTTTTTTTTAGGTTAAAGTTAAATATTTTTACAAAAATATAAAGTTTTTTATTTGTTGTATATTTAAGTATTATTTAGGGGAATTTACAAATAAGGGCCCGGAAAGTGAAAATAATTACAAATACGGGCCCAAATTAAAACTAATTACATTTAAGGACCTAATTTTTGAAAAATATTACATATAAGGGCCCAAAATAACTGCGATATTATTCAAGCCTGTGGCTTGATCGTTATTAGCATAAGAAATGTAAGCATCGAAAAATATAGCGATAGTTATTAAGCGCATAAAAAATGTAGCTATCGATTGTAAATTAGTAAGAAAAGAAATTTTTTTTAAATTTAATAAATTTCATTTTCTTTGCATAAAATTACTTATTGTTATAACAAACCACGATGATGTCAAATAAAACGCTGCGAATTGGCATGATGTTTACTAATATGGAAGATGTTTGTTCAGCTCTAAAGAGCTACCCTGTTGAAACTTCTTTGCCTTATAAATAGTTTAATGCTATTTTTTATACAATATTTAAGCGAAAATGATTATAACCAGTGCTTCATTTATCCTTCAATCTAATAATCGTGTATAGATAACTCTAAATGCCTATAATTAAACAATTGATAATCCTATAATTGCGTTTTGCTATCGTTTATAATCCAAATGGTCATAGTACTGTGTGGCACAGTAATACTCGCGATCACATTTTTTCAGCAACCAATCGATTTGGGCCCTTATGTGTAATATTTTTTAAAAATTAGGCCCATATATGTAATTATTTTTAATTTGGGCCCGTATTTGTAATTATTTTCACTTTCCGGGTCCTTATTTGTAAATTCCCTATTATTTATTATAGTTTAAAAATCTTTAGTTATACTAAAAGGGAATTGTTATTTTTACCATGGTTTTTTGTTATTTTCACCATGGGTTATACAAAAAATATAAAAAATTCTATTTTTAACAACCAATTAAATTTAAAAGAAAATTTTATTAAGTTAAGGTTTGTTGAGCTTTTAAGTAAAGTTGTAGAGGAGACTTTTTTGGTTTTAATAATAGTTAGATCATCAAAATTGGCTTAGTGGATCCCAAGATAATTAGGGTTAAAGATACAAATATAAAGAAAATTAATTTTTTTAAAATTAAAGAAAATTTTATTAAGTTAGGGTTTGTTAAGCTCCTAAGTAAAGTTGTAGAGAAGACTTTTCTGGTTCTAATGGTAGTTAGATTATCAAAATTGGCTTGGTGGATCCCAAGATATTTGGAGTTAAATATGTGAATATAAGGATCTGCAAATTAATAGTTATACAAAGTACTTTAGTACTTTGTGTAACCATCAATTTGTAGATCTCTATGTTCACACCTTTAACCCCAAATTCTTGGAATCTACTAGGCTAATTTTGATGATCTAATCAATTTTAAAATAAATGTCATAGTATATAATAAGATTACATGCTTTGGCCTCATTTTATCAAATTGTAATGCAAAGCAAATCTAGTGCTACCCTAAATTATATAATGAAAAACTAATAGATTTTCATATATATCTTCTACGATATAAACAACATTCTACTTAGGCCATTTAATTTTTTGGTGCTGTCTGCTCTTAGTAAAACACTTCTAAAAGTACGACAAGAAGGAAACACAAATTACTCTTTATAACTGATTAACCCACTACAAACAATGCTCACACAGATGATCAGAACTTGGATGAAGTCTTTGATTCTGATGAACCAAGACCCTGGTTTTCTACGGGAAACCTCAAGAATTTGTCTACTGAAATTTATTCAGATTGTATACTCTTAAATCAGAACGACAAAAGATATTATGAAGAGAACTACATAACACCAAAGTTGATTATAAACTCCTACAAATAGAACCTTACTTCTTATATTCAATATCAAAACAACAAAAGAAATTCAATAAAATTATTAGAAATATTTCTTACTAAACGTCAGCAATTCTATGTCCATTGATAATATTAGGAGAGCCCTATATAAATCAAAACCTAGTGATGATGTATGAATTGTTACAAAAATCAATTCAAAATACCAGAAAACTATTACGTAACATGTTATTATACACTAATGATTTGCAAAGAGAATTTGCTTTTAAAGCAATTTTTCCTACTTACATTCTGACCAAGAACAGAAAGGGTGTGTTCGGTGACAAGTTCAAAGATTTGGTAAAAGAAAAAAATACCAAATCCAAGCTATTCAATGATACTAACAAAGAAAAATGCAGATTTTACACTAATCAATCACCCCAACAGCCATATGTTTATACGACCAGAAGATTTACATCTCAGAGCAATCCAAGATGTCAGGAATAAGATAGATTTAAGAGCCATAGTAAGATAGAAAAAGCAAAACAAAACCAGGGAAACTTCTAATTAGATAACCAACATGGTGGTCATCCATAAGATCATGCCCGGTGCCAAGTTAATTGAAATATTTTAAACAAGATAGTTAGAAAAATTAGGAGATTCATGACCAACTTCAATAATAGTAAATGATTACTTACAGAATAGGATCACAGACCAATGGTAGGATTTTACTCTATAAAGAACAATTTTATAAATAATACAGATTTAGAATTAGCCAAAAAGAAATCTTAGCACTACTACAAACACAAGCAATAAGATCCTTTCCACAACAAGCACTGTGCTACATTTCTAATATTTTTATAGTTGACAAGAAGAATGGGAAAAAACGTGTAGTTTTGGATCTATGTTCCTTAAATTCTTTTATAAGACATATCCATTTCAAGATGGAATCAATTGCTACCGTAAAAAACCTGGTTAGAAGAAATGACTATTTGGCTTCTATCAACATAACAAATACTTTCTTTCATATGCCTTTACATCCCTTTGCTCAAAAGTATTTCATATTCGACTTCTTGGGTCAATGCTTTTGTTTTAGATATCTCCTGTTCAGCTTGACATCTTGCCCCAGAATATTCACAAAGATAGTAAAACCTGTGATAAAGATACTAAGACAAAGAGGAATACAGATTGTGACGTACCTGAATGACTTTTTGATAATGGTGAACAACAAAAAGACCCTGAAGTGGCATCTCAGGATTGTGCAGGAACTTCTAACCAAACTAGATTTTATAATAAATACTGAAAAGAGCCAAATAGTATTATGCAATCTTTAGAATACTTGGGGTTTAAAATAAATTCAAGAGAAATGACCATCACTCTTCTCAAGAAAAAGGTAAATTAACTAAAATGAGAATACAGCTTGGTTGCGAAGATGCACAGGATTCACATCAGGAAGCTGGCAGCAATAATAGAAAAGCTTCTAGCAACAATAGATGCAGTATACCTCGCAAGACTAAAGTTACGGAAACTACTAAGATTAAAAAACAGGGCCTTAAAATTAAGAGGTTGAAACACCTATTTAGAACTATCAGTAAAGGCGAAAGAACAATTACTATGGTAGGCAGAACAGCTAGAAAGGTGGAACGAACAATCTATGATGCCATTAGTAATAATATATATAGATGCATCACAACATAGTTAGAGAATCTATAGAAAAAAGATATTAATAAACAGGCTTTGAAAGGAAGAAGAACAGAAGCTTCACATAAATATATTAAAGATAAAAGCGATTTAATTCACTCTGATGATATTCAAACATCTGATGGGGAAGTCAGTTTTGATCAAAACAGACAACTTGACATGTGTAGCATATCTTAACCATCAAGGCAGAGTAGTATTTCCAGAAATTAGTACAATAGTGAAATCAATCTAGAAAATATGTCTTGAGAAGAAAATCAAGCCAAAAGTATAGCATATACCAGGAAGCCAGAATATAATGGCAGATTATGCTTTCTGACTCCATTTCAACCAACACAATTGGATGCTGAATCCCAAAACATTCAACAAGATTCACAGCATGTGGGGCCTATTCAAGATAGATCTTTTTGCTAACAGGCTTAATACCCAACTACCAATGTACTATTCATGGTACCCTAAACCAACTGCAACAATAGTGAACGCCTTTTTACAATAATGGTCAGGAATGATGAATTATGTGAATCCTCCATGGACATTGATACCCAGGATTCTGGCCAAAGCACAGAAAAAATATGCAATTTTGTGTCTAATAACTCTCCTATGGACTTCAGTGAATTGGTTTCTATCTCTGATAGACATGATTATAGATCTATCTCAAATATTACCAATAAAGAATTTTCTTCTTCCAGGCCCGATATTGGGCTTTGTACCCCAATTAACTACAAGATATCAAATATGCATGTGGCTTATCTCCAGGAATGTCTTCAAAAAAAGGGTATTTCTCAACAAGCTATCGAACTGTATACAAAAGCCCTTGATCCAAATTCAACCAATACTGTATTATCCAATATATATACCTGGACCTCATAATGCTTTGAAAATGCTAAAGACCTTATTTGTTGCTCTATAAATGATATTATACAATTTCCCATATTAAAAGCTAATAAAGAAAAGTTATACAATACTATTGCCACTTATAGATCGGCTATAAGTGAGATACACAAATACATCAATAATCAACCTATTGGACATAACCAAGACATAGCTAAATTGATGTTGGGAATATTCAGAACCAATCCTCCAACTGAACCGAGAGATGAGATATATGATATCACACCATCTCTGGATTACATTGTCTTACTTGGAGACAACTCATGATTACCTTTGATTGCTTTTGCAAAGAAAACTGCATTTTTATATGCTTTGTCTTCTGTTTCCTGTCCTTCTAATCTTGCATATTTAGACTTAACTACCTTAACGATTACACCGAATAGTATTACTATCCAATGCGTGAACTTTAAAAAAGTTAATATAGCTACAGATCATGGTATTAACAAAAGATAAACTAAAAAAAATTTATTGAAAGATACCATTATGATAAAACATCGTACCCTGCTACAACTCTACATAGTTATTTGAACAGAACTCAAGAACTTCATTTTACTAACGATCAAAAAATAGCAGTATTTTTGTCAAATGTAAGGTCGCATAACCCTGCAGCAATTGATACAATTGCCAATTGGTTGAAGGATATCATTAGACATTTAGCACCTGAAGGAAAAGCAAAAAACATTCGAATACTGTTGGTGCTGTTGGCACAAAATGGAGATGCTGATCTAAATGTGATCTTAGTATTGAAAAATTGGTCTAGTCTAAATATCTACCAATATTTCTATCAGAGAGGTATAAAATTAATGTTAGAACAGAACAACATTACTGAAAAATTTATGAATCAAGCTAGAAATATATAACTTTGCTTTAAAGAAACATGTAATCTTATTATATACTATGATATTTATTTTATCGAATGTATGAGATTTATTAAAATATATTTGAAAATAAATAAATAGTATATAATAAGATCACATGCCTCCCTTTCCAATATATTGTATATATTAGAATTAATCCTACCCAATTTAATGACAAACAGCCTAAGTAGAATGTTGTTTGTATTGTAGAAGATATATATAAAAATCTATTAGTTTTTCATTATGTAATTTAGGGTAGTACTAGATTTGCTTTATATTACAATTTGGACCACCAATAATAAAATGAGGCCAAAGCATGTGATCTTATTATATACTATTCATTTATTTCCAAATATATTTCGATAAATCTCATATATTTGATAAAATTAAATTTAATTGGTTATTAAAAATAGAATTTTTATATCTTTTTGTATAACTCATGATGAAAATAACAAAAATCCATGGTGAAAATAACAATCTCTATACTAAAATTAGTTTAATTTTTTTAATATAGTTTAATTTTCATATAGTACTCTTTATATCAGTCATCTGATATATCATGGTATAAATTTTTGTATATATAAATTATGCTAAAAATATATAGAATTACATATAAACTTTGTTGTAATAATATTTCTTCCTTTACATATTAATTTTAAATTAAATTTTACAAATAAATACAGTCAAACCCCTCTATAGTCACCTTCTCTATAGTCACAAAATTAGTATAATTACAAATTTATTTTTACCAATTATTTATAA